AAGAACTTGAGGAACTACTAAAAGAGAGGCTAAAGCACTTAGATGCAGAAGAAAGCGGAACATTTGAAATGCTTTGCTGATGTTAATACTCGATACAGTATTCAGATGGAAATGCGAAATATGTAATGACTCCATAATAACCCAAACATAGAGAGGGCTTTGCTTTCAAACGGAGAATGGATGACATCGAAGATCGACAAGAAGAAGACAAAGTTACCAGTCAGCAAAGAAGCTCACACTAGTTCTGAAAAGGGAAGGCAGACAGGTGATGCTATTATTGCACGACAGACAAGGTTTCACGGGAACCATACCTGCAATGGGAGTTCACAATCAGAAATTGGAACCGAATGTTATACCTTCGTGTTCTGTTGACGAACCTGAGCACTTCCGGTTCGGTCATTTCGGCGCGTTCCTTCAGGTTAGCACCGGCACAGAATATGTTCGGTACATCGCTCTTCAGGATGACGGCTCGTAGTCTATCGTCAGACTTCACCACTTCGATCGCATCGGCCATTTGTTTCACCAGATTCTTGCTGATCGCATTCCGTGTGCCCGGATGGTTCATGCGGAATAAGGCGTAGACGTTGTCACCCTTCGTCACCCTTTCCACTGTAAATTCCATCGCGGTCAGTGAGCAATAGGCACGTCTGAAGCCGTTACAGATCATCGACGCCAAAATCACTAACCTGTCGATCGGTGCCTGAAAATTTGCATAGGAAACGATGACTGAGACAAGCTGAAAATAAGGACTAAGGCCTGAGGACTAAAACAAATAAGATATGCCTATTCCAGTGAACTATCTCCATACGTTGATCGACACCGTAAACCAATTTAAATGCGTAACACCGTTTAAACTTTTATAAATTCTGCTGTTTTTATGTCATGGTCTTTGAAGAAACCAAGATTAGTAGTCAGGCAAATTAAACAGTACCTAAACTATTTGTTTATTGTTATTTGTATGCTCATAACATTGAGAAGTCTGCGTAAATAGAATGCCTCTGGTTTGTGATGTCCGCTGTGTTCACAGCCATGCAACACGTTTGGTTAAGTCACCGGTTGTAACACTGTAAAAAACAATTCCTCTCCAAATGCAGATCTGTCTCTAAACTACCTCTTTCTCCAAGTTGCATGCTGATCCCCCCTCTAGATTTGCAGTGTTGCTGCTCTCACACGAGAAATTCGCAAGCTGCAGTAAATTACTTATGCTCAAATAGTTTGTCTGCCAATCTTCTTGATTTTGATTCTTGATCCAATCTTTGTCTACCAGGGCCAATTTTCACTTTTTTAATCTCAATCTACAGCACACATCTGGTTCGCGGAATACGATATTAGCGTTCGTTACGTGGTGCTAGCATTCAAAACTCAATAAGCGTCGAAGCCAACCGTCGGTCTTGCTCTTTCGTTAGAACAACTCCGACCTTTCCATGCCGTACAACAACACTGACCTTAGAGAGACGAGGTATATTCTGATTTTTGTGTAAAGAGTTACTCCTTTCTCAGGCTAAATATCTGACAAATTAATAAAAGCACCGGAAAAGATGGCGATTCTCCAATTTAAGTCTGTTTGGACGATATCATTGCTGGAAATGATAGTGTAAGTTTAGTATATTTAGTGTGCCTCTTCTTCTCTGTATTCATCGAGTAGATCATCGATGGCGTGCCTGATCGGTTCTTCATAACCATGTACTTTAGGGTGTTAGAGCAGAGATCGGTTTTCGCACTGTACTGCATAATGAAACTGCGATGTGACGAAGCATGCTCCCTGTACTGCGCACTAGGACAATACCTTCTACATAATGAAGATCAGTAGGATATTTTGGGAA